TCTGCATGCACTGAAGTCTCTTTAACACTTCAGGGGATATATGGTCAATTCTCATTTCGGTTTTTTTAATAATTTCGAGATCAGGATTTTCTTCCTATCTTTGCTACACCAGGGCAAACTATACACGTATGAGAGAGGTCCTCCTACATGCCCCATGGCCACGGGAGTGGTGGAGGCTGACAGTAGATGATCACTAGCAAATAGTGAGAGACCTCATCCAAAAACGCCGTCGTAGGCAGTGTACCTCAGTCACACCGCGCCTAGGTTAGGCGCGGCGGTGAACGAAGAAGAGAGCCTGACACAAGTTGAAGGTCCCCTTGAAGGATTCCGATCGCAGTTCTTACTTGGCATTGGTAAACAGATGCAATACCAAAGTTTGAAGCGACAGGAGACAATTCCAGATAAAGCTAGCCGCCAGAATAGAGGCAAACCCGAAACATCTGTTTAGGTTCATGTCCAAAAGAAAACCTACTAATCAAGGGTTGTGTTCTCTAAAAGGACCAAACGGAGATGACCTCACCAACATAGAGATGGCCGAGATCTTCAACACCACCTTTGCTGATCAATTAAACCAGGCGCCTACATGTTCACAGTATTACGCATCAAAGGTTGTGGAAATGGGCTTCACCGACCCACTCCTATCCTGGCTCAGAAACTACCTTGAGAATAGAAAGTTTCGTACCAAGGTGAAAAGAGTGAACGCGATTTGGCGAGTATCCACTTCAGGAGTTTCACAGGGGACCATCCTAGGCATACTTCTCTTCCTGATGTTTATCAACGACCTGTTGGGCTCAGTTAGCTCACCGGCATTGATCTACGCAGACGATGCGAAGATCTGGAGGTCCATTAGAAGCGAAGAGGATTCGACTGAGCTTCAAAAGGACCTTACATCTATTGAGAAATGGGCAGTGAAAAACTGTTTAAAAATCGAGCAACTGAAGTACCACGTCATACATATTCTGCCGCACACGACGCAAACGATCTACACCCTCAACGGAAGTCCGCTCCGTAATCTCTCCTCAGAGCGCGATCTCAGTTTAATAACCACAGAAAGCCTCCACACGAGTCCGAACTATGTAGGGGATGCAGCCAAGGCAAATGCGACTCTTCACTTTATGCGAAGACAACTTGGTGCTATCACCCTGCAATTATTTTTGACACTATTTAAGACGTACGCGCGCCCACACCTGGAGGTTTACAATGTCATCGCACCCCCTCTGCCTAAAAGAGACATAAATCTCTTGGATCGAGTGCAGAGACGAGCAACCAAATAGGTGATATGGTTGAAAAATAAACCTTACGACGATAAACTCCAGCTCTTGGGATTATTTCCACTGAGCTACAGGAGAATCAAAGGTGATCTGATTATGGCATACACCATATTAAACATGCCAAACCATCCCAATATGAGCATCTTACCGATGCATCACCACCACTCCCCTCGAGGCAATCCTCGAAAGATCGCACATCAAAGAGCAAATACTCGGATTCGTGCACACTTTTTCCTGGAATGCTTTCCCAGCCGAGGTAGTTACAACCCCCTCAGTGGACTGCTTTAAGAAGAGACTTGATAATCACGTACTCACATACGGACTATCATCTCCCTCTTGGACAAGCTGTGCCTGATGCATATCTTGAGACCTGCTAGTTGTTACCATTGCCATCTCCTCAGATCACTCAATTAATCTATCTCGCCTATTATCTCTGTTTCCTCTCCCTTGCTTACACTTCGGTCCTCTCTCACAATCTTCACTACCAATTAACAAACTAAATTCATCTATATATTACTCAGTTCTGAAATTTTATTCATATTATCATTAGAATTTTATCCTTATTATCCTTATTACTCTTCACATCGCAACTAACTGATCTCCGGTTTGGTAATGTGACGGCTGCTAGTACCCAGAAACCCTACTGCCCTGAAACAAACGTTTCATTCATATCCCGAGACATACAAACTCACAACCAACAGCCAACGGACTAGAATTAGACAGTCGAGTGGCTAGACGTCCATCCATTGGACACTACCGGACACCTGGAATCGTACCGAAACAACAAGAATCGAGCGCAAAGCAATCCATAGGTTTATACTTGCTCGTGAAAAAGATATTGGATATTGGGTGTTCAAGGTCGCGCGATTGAAAGTGCGGTCTTGTTGGAGGCTGGGTCACTCTCGTAGTGTATCGTTTGTATCGTGTTTTTTTATCTTGTGCCAAAGATTCAACTTCATATGTAAGCAACTTAATGTTGGCTCCTGAAATCGTTCTCTGGTATAACTAGCACTGTGTGATAAATAATTCTCAACTCATGCTGTTGGAAGAAATAGGTCAAGACCTTTTAATATTTACTAATTGATAGGGGTAATTAAGATCGCTTTTGCTTTTCTTCGTCTGTGTCGTTTTGGTTCCTTTCAAAACCTCTTCGTGTTATCCCTTCCCATTCTGTCTTCACAAACCATATTTCCCATATCTACTCATTCTCTTTATAATTTTAACCAGATTATGTCGATCATCATTGCTTTTTACACCTCGTGCTAATTAGTA